CCGAGTCGACAGGTCAGGGGTTCCCTGGCGTTCCGGCTCCGCTCAGGGCTACTGACTAAGGGGCCTCCCGCGCAAGGCCCGCCTTTTTGTCAAAATGGCAGCGCCCAGCGTCCTCCCACGGGAGCTGTGAGGTGGGTGTGAGAGCCTTCCCCACGAGAGTAAGCGGGCCCACGGCGCTCCAGACTTTAAACACCCAGGTCTGCGTCTCCCGGCGAGCGGTGGGTGAGTGCCGGTCTCGCTGCCGCGTGGGGTGCTCCGTGGGCAGTGTGGCAGGGGGTTACCTGACCCTGGATTTCCCCCCTTTATGGGGTACGGGTTGAGCTCCCCGGGTTTTGCTTTTGAGTCGTGAGTCCCGTAGAGTTTTGTCATCTAACAAATGTGTGCAGAGGTCGGGTTGCTTGGGCTGTAGACGTGGGGGATTAATCTGGGAAGGGACTTGAGTGGTCCAAAACTCTGTTGCTGAGCAAGTTTTCTCTCGAAGCGTTTCATGACTGACTTCTCTCGGGGCCCTTTTCGGAAGACGCCAACTTTTCTGAACTGCCATGTGACAGTGGTGCGTGAAGTTGGTCGTTCTGGTCCTTGAAGGTGGACTTGGCGCAGGGAGGCGTGATCTGGTTCTTGTCAACTGGGTTTGCAAAGCACTTGTCTTTGGAATCTTCCGTTATGTAATAAACGTTAAGAAGAAGCAGTTTTCTGCCCCCAAATACAGTAAAGACTACCCCTGTGTACGTAAAAAAAAAGTTTGCATTAACATCCATCTTAATCCAAACACTGAATTATGGTTTTGTTTCATCTAAGTTTATCTGGTTTTGGAATTGTTAGAGGCACCTCTCACTGACACCAGAGAGGGGTTTCCGGGCAGCCCCCTGAGTTAGTGGGAGAGGGCGGTCCCAACCTCGATCCTTGTCTTCTCATATAAATAGTTTATACGAGAGACCTTGACTGCATTTTGAATAGCCAATGTATCAAAGCAATTAAAGCATGCACCTTTATTAAAGAAGCAAAGCAAACAAATCTATACATCTGGCTTATGAAGCGCAGAGGGGCTGGGCTCTCAGCTAATGTGAAGAGCAAGTTAGGTGGGGGGGGGCAGAGGTGTTATACCAGGTGTACCCGTTAATAATGCGGATTTGGTAATCAAGGAAAACACGATAATTTCAAGAGAAACATCAAAAGTGCTTTATTCAAAGTAATGTCCGTTGCTAGCTACACATTTTCCCCATCTTTCAGGTAATTTGTGGATACCGTCCCAATAGAACTTTTCTTGTTTTGAGGCAAACCATTCAGAGACCCAATTTTCCACTTCTTCGTAGGTTTTGAATGCTGCTCAGAAAGTGCGTGTGCCATCGATCGGGAACAAGTGGTAATCTGAAGGAGCAAGGTCTGGTGAATACAGCGGGTGGGTTAATACTCCCCAGGCAAGATCTTTTAACGTGTCCTTAACTGGTTTTGAAGAGTGTGGTGGTGCGTTATCTTGAAGCAAAATTGCTTTGCTGTGTCTTCTGGCCCATTCTGGTCGTTTCTCGATCAAAGCGTGGTTCAAATTGATTGTTTGTTGTTGGTAGCGATCAGTATTAATGGTTTCACCTGGT